TTTTTACCTTTGAAGGGACACCGCACTGTCGACGTCGTATCTCGGAATCATTTTCTTCGAAACGCGTGAAATTGATCTCGATCTTAAAAAAAAAGGATAGGGCAGGCTCGAGAACGAACACTTTATTAATGTCGCCGAGCATACATCGTAAACGATGGAAAAACGATGCGCAATACGCAACTGCGCGTACAAGTCCGTTTAATGGTCGAATACCGACTGACTATTGACGATTGGGAAACACGCTCGATCGTATTCGTGTTGCGATAACCCTGAAGCGATATAAAGGTCGAATCCAAAGACATTACTCTCGCGGCGAGCATACGCCAACCAAACGCACGATACTGGTTTCAACTGGTAAAAACGAGGAGAATTTATGCGTGATCATCGGTATTCGAAAACGAGCATTCTTCCTTTTATTTATTTATCTTTCAAATTAAATCATTTTTCAAATAAATCTCGAGAACAATTTACGCCCGAAACGTATCGATACGAAACGAAATTCGTATTCTTTCCCCTTTTTTCCTTTTAAATTAAATCGTTTAAAAATAATCTCGAGGAGATTAACGAAGGATAGGATAGGATTTGTCACTCACTTGGCCAACTCTTCGTCGTTCGCTTCTTCCTCGGTCTCAGAACCGAGAGGACTTCCATTGGGCGTAGAGCCGCTGTTGCTGAACGTCACGCTGCTGCTGTCGTCGCTCTCCGATCTCGTGAACTTCGAGGCGGTTCCCTGCTGAAATTTGATCACTCGTGATCTCGGGCGATGTTAACGAGGGACGAGGATAAAACAGGGACGAGGAACAAGGACGGATATTTCCCTCGCTTCACGAACGAGCAAAAAACGCGTTTGGCCAACAATCGAGAAAGTAGGAGCTGTCGCTTCGAGCGACATTCGAGAACTACTCTCACGGAAACGTAGAACGCAGTGAAGGTGCATAGGTTGACGGATGGTAAATATTAAATATTACGCAATCAGACGCGAGAAATCGTGCTTTTACATCGACGAATAGCGAATCGACTTCGGTGTGTAATGTTTAACATTGTGGTAGGAGAAAGATCGAAATCTTGGATTGTCGAGACATTTTCGTCTCGTGAGATTTTAACAATGGAATTTCGTTTATCCGAATATTAAGCTAATTTATATACAAGTATTTTTACAATGTGATTAATTCATAAAAAATTTATAATATTCAACGATTATTATTATTATGCATTTCAGAGAAAATGTTTCGTGAAATTTTCCTTTCTATCTCGTTGATTCGATTAAAAATAACCAGTGGGAAAATTATATAAAAATATGATCCGGTGAACATTGTCCCTCGATAGATATTCGTACAAGTGAAGTTTTATTGCAATTTTCTTGGAAGGATGATTCCTTATCTATGATTCTCCTCTTCAGAATTTATCTTCCTAGTATGCTTCCAAATAAATTTTGCTTTATATTCGAGAATAAATATCGTATCAAGTGTGAAAATTAAATTAGAAACGGTAATTTATCACCGTATCTAATTTTATTTCTCCAGCGTTCAATTCAGCGTTTATTTTCGAGGAAATAAAAGATAAAATTGTATTTATATATTCTTTTGTTAAACAGACAATAACAATAACGTTTTCTCATCTTTGATATTTTTCAAAATAATGATAAAAAATAATTGAATTTTATTACAAACGAAATAATTAATTTTATTTTTAATACATATACTCTCTCAATTATTATTTTCTCGAGGGGGAAAAAAATATGATCTTTATCTCGAATTCCTTACACGATCTTCAAACAGATAATCGCGACAAGACAACATGTGTCAATGATTACTATTCACAGTAAAAGATGTTTGACTTGTAAATGCTAGCTGGAAGAAGCTATGTTTGCAAATATGTGTCGAGAAAATACGTATCGTTTTTTTCTTTTCTTTTTCTTTTTTTTTTTTATTCACTTTCTTACTTACCTTCTGTCTATCGATTCGAAGATTCTCCATCTCGTCTAGATTAGTAGGCATCGAAGTGCTAGTTTTACGTATTCGAGTAGCATACAGTGTCGTAGTAGATTTTTCAGGCACCCTCGTATTTCTGTACTCTGTAATTTTTGCGATCTTGTCCGTGACAGGCGTACTCTCGTTACGTTCCATCACTTTCGAGGCATCTGGAAAATTCATCTTATCGCTCGTTACTCGTTTTGTTTTCTCGTTGTCACAATTGAATTTATCAAATTGTCGAACAAACAAATAATATTCTATTAATTAATATTATAAATTATCGATCGACAATAATCGAATAGAAAATTTTATTCGTCATTGAAATGAACTGCTAACAGGGCCAAAGTGGATTAACGTTAAATCCAAAGACAAACGAATCAAAGAATTCGTGTAATTAATCGCCGATTCCGATGATAACAACGAATATAATTTAATTCTCGACGCGATTAAATATACATCGACTAAATATCGTTCAACTTAAATCCTTGATGATCGCAATCAATTGATAATCAAGCATTTCATTAATCATAATCGTTAATCAAACATCGCCAACACTGAATATATTAATATTTCACTTTCTACGTTACTTTGTTTCCTGTCAAACGTTTGATTGACGTTAACCTGCAAGATTGATCAACAGCTCGACCGCGTCGATGAACGATTGATATTTAAATCGACGAAAAAGGAAAGAAGAGGCGAGGCGAGGTCTTAGATGCCCTAAAAAAAATGTGCGACTGCCCCGAGGAGAAGGAGGATGGCGAGAAGAAAGTGGAGACGGTGATGCTTTTCAAAAAGTGTCGGAAACCTTACCGCACGACCAAAGACATTGTCAAACCGTCGAGTTACGACACGGTCTCGGACAAAGATCTGTGGACCCCCGCAGACTCCTCGCAATCGACCTTCAAATACACGTACGACTCGCCCAAAGGATCCCAGATCTCAAGCTCGTACACCAGCTCCTCTAAAATAGTAAACACCTTTCGACAATTCATCCTCCACCAACGACTCTTTTTTTTTCTTTCGTCTCTCTCTCTCTCTCTCTCTCCTCTCTCTCTCTCTCTCTCTCTCTCTCTCTCT